GTTTCGTTGGTGAAGAAGACCAAGGTGTTTCCTAAGGCTCAGCTACCCTTTCGAAACACTCTTGGGGCCTGATCCTTGAACTCAGACTCAAGGGGCAATTTCACGCATGTTTCTCTTTTCGGCAGCCCAAGCCCATTCGTCAGGCTGCTGGAATAAAAAGACCCCTACAGCCTCCAATTCCAAGTGATATTGATAGAAAAACTGCCCGGATCCTTGAGTTTTGGTGGGAGCTTTCTTTGAAGCACAACACTCATATTTTCAGACACCATCACCTTCTCATTAGGTCCATACTTCCTCTTATAAATGTTTAGCTCCTTGAAAAATTTCCCATAAGCTGGCATATTCTTAATGACATCAAGCAAAGGGAAATTAACATTCACTTTACTTAAAATATCAAAAATTTCTTTAAATGACTTATCCTGCTTGCTTTTGGCAAGTCTTCTAGGAAATGGGATGGGAGGAGTGTATGGTTTTTCATCCTTGTGAAAATTTAGAGCTTCAAACGAAGAAGTGACATTGCTTGGATCATCATTCAGTTTCTCATTCTCTTCTTGGGTGGGACCTGCATTCACATGATCAAATTCATTAGTAACTTCAGAAGAAAAGAGGGAGGAAAGCTTGACAAAATTAAGATTCTCATCGCCTATAAAAGAAGCCAGTTCCTACCCAGCAAAAACAACTCATCTTGGTTGTTGCAAGCCTCCCAGCAACCAGGAGAATTCATCGAAGGCAAGCATCCCCTTTGGCCCCTTCAATTTCATGCTTTGTTCTTCCATCTTCCTCTTTTTTCTCTTTCAAAACCCACATCCAGAGAGAGTAAGCATTATCTCTCATCTCTGGAACCCTTCAATTTCAAGACTTGTTCTTCCATTGCTTCCCATTTTCTCTTCTGTCAAATCGCCCAGAAGCTTGACGAAGCTTTCATCAAGCTGCTGGAAATATGCTAAAGCCACCCATGCTTTCATCTTCTACCTCTCTTTCTACAACATAGATCTAGAGAGCAAGCTTCATCTCTCAAAGCCTCTGTTCCTCATAAGAAACCCAAGCCTTCTCTCTCTCATGCTAAACTCACGAATACTCAGCTTTCATGCCATAAGCTCTCACGCCAAGCCCATGAATTTATCTGTAAACAACTGTTGGTTTCCTTGGTGAAGAAGACCAGGGTGTTTCCTAAGGCTCATCTACTCTTTCGAAACACTCGTTTCGTTGGTGAAGAAGACCAAGGTGTTTCCTAAGGCTCAGCTACCCTTTCGAAACACTCTTGGGGCCTGATCCTTGAACTCAGACTCAAGGGGCAATTTCACGCATGTTTCTCTTTTCGGCAGCCCAAGCCCATTCGTCAGGCTGCTGGAATAAAAAGACCCCTACAGCCTCCAATTGTGATATTGATAGAAAAACTGCCCGGATCCTTGAGTTTTGGTGGGAGCTTTCTTTGAAGCACAACACTCATATTTTCAGACACCATCACCTTCTCATTAGGTCCATACTTCCTCTTATAAATGTTTAGCTCCTTGAAAAATTTCCCATAAGCTGGCATATTCTTAATGACATCAAGCAAAGGGAAATTAACATTCACTTTACTTAAAATATCAAAAATTTCTTTAAATGACTTATCCTGCTTGCTTTTGGCAAGTCTTCTAGGAAATGGGATGGGAGGAGTGTATGGTTTTTCATCCTTGTGAAAATTTAGAGCTTCAAACGAAGAAGTGACATTGCTTGGATCATCATTCAGTTTCTCATTCTCTTCTTGGGTGGGACCTGCATTCACATGATCAAATTCATTAGTAACTTCATTGCCAACTCCATTATTAATAACCTTACCACTTCTAAGTGTTATGACCGCTTTGGCTTGCTCTTGGTTCCTTTGAAGTATCACCAGTTGGCTTGGAAATTTCCCGGGTTCTCTTTGACTCAAAGCATCAACAATCTGACCTAATTGTGTCTTCATTTTGGTTAGAGAGCTGAATGTTGTTCGAGAGTACTATTGGTAGTTTGTTGGAATTGAACGGTGTTTTGAGCTAGCATTTTGACCGTATCTTCAAGCGTAGTGGCAGGCGTTGGTTGGAAATTTTGAAATTGATTGTTATTCATCCATGAGAGATTGGGATGATCTCTCTAACCACGGTTATATGTATTAGAGAACGGGTCTTTCCTAGGCCTCTAATTGTAAGAATTCATGAGATTCACTTGCTCTTGAACGAATTCAGGATAAGCCTCACTAGCTAAGCATTGATAAGTGGGATGACCTAGTATGTTGCAAATGGCACACACCTTAGCTATCTTAGGCACCATATTGAGCACAGAATCGAGCTTCTTTTCCAAACTAGCCACCTGGAAGGCAAGATCATTATTAGAACTCATTTCATACACTCCAACTCGTTTACCTCTTGTATCTTCATGTTGAGCATTAGATCCCAACATCTCGTAAATGTTATATGACTCTTGAGCATTTTTTTTCTTCAAAGCTCCACTTGCTGCATTATCAACAGTCGATTGACATGTTTGGGTTAGTCCATCATAAAAAAATTGCATTTGTAAGTAAAGTGATAACCCATGATGTGGACATTGCAGCAACATCCCTTTGAAACGCTCCCAACATTCATTGAAAGGTTCTCTATCATCTTGTTTAAAGTTAAACATTTGCCCTATCAAAGTAGCTATCTTTTGAGTAGAGAAAAACTTCTCCAAAAATTTCTTAGCTACGGCACCCCAAGTGGTGAGCGAACCAGGTGCTAAAGTCATTAGCCAACCCTTTGCTCTATCTTTCAATGTATAAGAAAAAGCCTCATCCTCAGATTTGCTTCACTCACTCCCTGCAAAGGTAAACCACTCACAACATTGTAGAATTCCTTAATATGGGCTAATGGATCTTCGTTAGGTAAACAATAAAAAGAAGGAAGCATGTGAAAATGTGAAGATTTGAGATCATAATTTCTACCTAGTAGGCAGCAAGATGCACGAAGGTGAATTTGGTATAACCGGTTGAGCATAATCTTCCAAAGCTTGGTTGTCATCGTTATTGCCAGCCATCTCTTCTTCTCTGTCAGAATTAGAGTTGTCGAAAGAATCTACACTATCTGAGCTAGAAGAACTATTGTCATCTTCTACACAACTAGTTTGGGCACTAGCTAATACAGAATTCTCAAAAGTGTTGCTCTTTAACGATTCAAGTCTTTGGCCTATCTCAGCAAGTTTATCTAACATATACTACCTGAGAAACAAAAAAAAAAAATGAAATTAATGTATCAAAGATTAAAAAGAACACAGATAGGGTTTGAGAACAAGCAATTACAGAGGACTGAAATCAGTCCCGGCAACGACGCCAAAATTTTGTTGTATTCCTTACAAGGACCGATTGGACCTCTATAAATTACTAGTTTTGAAAGAACCCTAACTAACAATTAAAGTGACAAATTGAATGTAGTTTTTGTGTTGTAAATGAACAATAACTTAAAATGCAAGAAGAATGTAGCAGTGAATGACATATTGATGTCGAAAGAATAGGGATGAGACCAGGGATTTTGAATTCACCATTGCAAAACCAATTCCATGTTTATAAAATTAAACCGTATTCAACTACCAACCTGTTTCCAGAGTTCGTTTTACATATATATGATAAGCCATACGTGTGTGGTTTTGATCAAATTCTCCTAATATGCAACCTAATTGGGATGTTCAACTTTGGTTCCAAGTTAAGACATTAGCATGCAAGAAAATGTTAAAGAACCAAAGAAAATACACGACAGGATGTTTGCATAGAATTCTCTTCATTCATTCACATGTCTACTAAGATTTAGCATGATGTTTACTATAACCTTGTCTAGATAATCTGTAGGCAACCCTAATGGTGATCAAACATTAAAATTGACAAACAAATTTAACAATAGATTCAATGAATGAAACAAGAAGCATATTGATTAACTGAATACTTTAACTTAGAAACATGGATCAATGTTGCAAGGGTACATTGAAATCCCTAGCTATGAATTTAGTTACACATCATGTTCACAGAGATTAAAATGAAAATAAACAACATGGGTGAAAATAGATTCAAGAGAGGGAACCCTTGAACCAATTCTGATGTTGAACTTCTCCAAGAACAGCTTCCTGCGATGAGTCATGATGGTGGAAATATATGGACGACTAGGGTTTAAGTGTGCATGAAAGGAGAGAATAACCAAAAAAGGGGTCCAGGGTTGTTAAATTCGTCCAGAATAAATGGGGTCTGTAAAATTGGCTAAAAGGAAAGTTTTTATGAATGTGAAGATTTGAGATCATAATTTCTACCTAGTAGGCAGCAAGATGCACGAAGGTGAATTTGGTATAACCGGTTGAGCATAATCTTCCAAAGCTTGGTTGTCATCGTTATTGCCAGCCATCTCTTCTTCTCTGTCAGAATTAGAGTTGTCGAAAGAATCTACACTATCTGAGCTAGAAGAACTATTGTCATCTTCTACACAACTAGTTTGGGCACTAGCTAATACAGAATTCTCAAAAGTGTTGCTCTTTAACGATTCAAGTCTTTGGCCTATCTCAGCAAGTTTATCTAACATATACTACCTGAGAAACAAAAAAAAAAAATGAAATTAATGTATCAAAGATTAAAAAGAACACAGATAGGGTTTGAGAACAAGCAATTACAGAGGACTGAAATCAGTCCCGGCAACGACGCCAAAATTTTGTTGTATTCCTTACAAGGACCGATTGGACCTCTATAAATTACTAGTTTTGAAAGAACCCTAACTAACAATTAAAGTGACAAATTGAATGTAGTTTTTGTGTTGTAAATGAACAATAACTTAAAATGCAAGAAGAATGTAGCAGTGAATGACATATTGATGTCGAAAGAATAGGGATGAGACCAGGGATTTTGAATTCACCATTGCAAAACCAATTCCATGTTTATAAAATTAAACCGTATTCAACTACCAACCTGTTTCCAGAGTTCGTTTTACATATATATGATAAGCCATACGTGTGTGGTTTTGATCAAATTCTCCTAATATGCAACCTAATTGGGATGTTCAACTTTGGTTCCAAGTTAAGACATTAGCATGCAAGAAAATGTTAAAGAACCAAAGAAAATACACGACAGGATGTTTGCATAGAATTCTCTTCATTCATTCACATGTCTACTAAGATTTAGCATGATGTTTACTATAACCTTGTCTAGATAATCTGTAGGCAACCCTAATGGTGATCAAACATTAAAATTGACAAACAAATTTAACAATAGATTCAATGAATGAAACAAGAAGCATATTGATTAACTGAATACTTTAACTTAGAAACATGGATCAATGTTGCAAGGGTACATTGAAATCCCTAGCTATGAATTTAGTTACACATCATGTTCACAGAGATTAAAATGAAAATAAACAACATGGGTGAAAATAGATTCAAGAGAGGGAACCCTTGAACCAATTCTGATGTTGAACTTCTCCAAGAACAGCTTCCTGCGATGAGTCATGATGGTGGAAATATATGGACGACTAGGGTTTAAGTGTGCATGAAAGGAGAGAATAACCAAAAAAGGGGTCCAGGGTTGTTAAATTCGTCCAGAATAAATGGGGTCTGTAAAATTGGCTAAAAGGAAAGTTTTTATGAGGGTAAAAGAGGCTGCAAGATATTCCCAAGAGATCCTAACAAAGTAGCCTTTATTTTGCACGTTTTTGCCTTATTTGGCACCTCCAAATCAGGCTAGAAATCTTCATTGCTTTCCCATTTTGCTCTTAGTCTTTAAACAAGCCAGGTTCGCCTTTAAACAAGCCTAGTTACACATAATTAGGGTTTGGTGGATTAAATTATGGGCCCCATAATTCGGCCATGTAGCTTATGACTCATCAAAGTCAGATTAGTTGTCAAAAAGTGACATGTGGCGACATCCGACGGAGTGCATCAAACGGTTCAAAATTAAGACAAAATTAAGGGAAAGAATCTTCTGTGATTGACTTTGATTTAAATCAAATATTAATCATGTCGATCAATTGAAGATAATCTGGTTAAATTGCCAGATTATGGAAATTGATTTAAATCAAATCAAAATCCCACAAAATAAGGTTTTAAATAGGGAAAGTTATTTAGGTCAAGCATCCTACAAGAGTCTATAAATAGGAGGCCTTAAGACGAAAGAAGGGGTTCAGAAAAACCTAGCATTCAGAAGAAACAGAAAACTCTTTGCATTCTTCACCTCACTTTGGAAGAACCACCAAGCACAACAAATAGGTGCCGGTTCCTCCACCCTAGAAAAATCCAAACACCAAACAAGCGTTATGCTACCCATTTGATCAAGATCAAGTCTCTACGACCCTTGTATCAAACACAAATTTTCTTTAAACACTTTGGAGATCGAATCAGAGGATTCAATACATAGATTGTAACCCTAAATTTCATAAATACAAAGATTATTTTGTAAATGTGTTCTTGTCTCATTTGTCGCAGGAAATTCGTGTTTACAAATTTGGCACGCTCGGTGGGACCTCTCTGCCTCTCATCTCTTTCTCCAGATCCAGAATCAATCAACACACCAAAAACGATGGCTTCCGGAAGATTCAATCTGTTCCTGCGACGAGAGGCAAAAGTGTGAGTGCCTCCTTCTCAAGTGGAGACTCTGCTAGGGTCGTCACCCGAAGCAAAGCCAAGGCGATATTCACAACTCAACATGTCACCTTCATATCGACTCAAGCCAAGGCGAAAGATGTGAACCAGTTATCAATCTGACCTCTTTGGGGGCAAAGAAGAATATCTCCCGAGCGGATGAGAGAAACTATCAGAATGAAGAAAGGAGTTTTTCGGGCTTGAAGAATTCAAGATAACGTTCCCTCTTGCCTGTTTCAGATGCTGACTCGAGCATAGGCTCATACCATGGATTCCCGCCTGACGACCAACAGAATAAGTTTGCCTCGGCGTCCATAGGTGAGTCTTATTCTATGGCCATGCAGGTTATGG